AGCCTGTGCTCTGAACTTGCTAAAACACCCCAAGGATGCCTGGGGGACTCAGTCCTCTGCTGTTGGCTCAGGTCATGATCCTGAAGTCCTGGAGTTGAGCACCTCATCAGACTCCCTGCTCAGCTGGGAATCTGCTTCTCCATCGGTGCCTTACCCTGCTCGTGCTCTCTCTCTCCCACCCCCCCAAACAAATAAAAATAAAAATAAAACACCCCGGATCTGGGAGAAGCTGGTGGCATAAGAATTCAATTCAGTTCAATCAACACTTAGGCTCAAGCAGCGTAGCCGTCTTTGGGGCCTGTGCCTCCTGTAAAACTTGAATAGAATGGCTTGGGGACCTCACGCCTTTTTCTGGAGGAAGGCCAGCCTCTTCTGTCTCGTCTCCAGGGACTGATGCTGGGGCTGGTGTTCCTCCTGGCTGCATCTGTCTCCCATCTTTCCCTCCCGATGAACATTTCCATGCCCTGTAGCCTCTTGCCCTCTAATGATCTATGCTGGGCTCATTCCTTCATTTTTGGCCTGTGCCACGAAGCCGCACATGTGGTTAGGATTTCACAGTTTGGAGGATCTAGGATCCCATCCTAGAGCCAAGCCGGTGACCACTGTCAATTGCACATTAGACCTCACTGTCCTGAAAAGTAATTGATCTTCCTGGATTGCCCCTTCCTTTTTTTTTTTTTTTTTTTAAGATTTTATTTATTTATTTGACAGAGATCACAAGTAGGCAGAGAGAAGCAGGCTCCCCACTGAGCAGAGAGCCCGATGCGGGACTCGATTCCGGGACCCTGAGATCATAACCTGAGCTGAAGGCAGAGGCTTTAACCCGCTGAGCCACCCAGGTGTCCCTGGATTGCCCCTTCTTAAGGCCCTGATTTAGTGTCTTTCTCCCAGACTCTCTGGTGCCCTGGACACACATTTCTTCCCTTTCCTGATTGCCATCTCCCAAATTCCTGTGATTTTCTCATGCAGACTAGTTCAACTCACCCTTCCTCACCCCAAACTGGGTTTCTAGGCTCCTTAGCAACACCACGTCTCAGTGGGGTTTGTGGAATGAAGCATCCCAGGGACCAAGGGGGAATCAGCAGAGTTGGACATTAATTTCTTCTTCAGGACATCTCAGAGCATATTCTTGGCAGCGCCCCACCCTCTCAGGGACAACGCCCCCCCCCCGCCCCCACCTCTGGGACTGAATGGGTTCCCCTCAGTCTGTCTAGAGCACCTCCTTTGGGTTGTACTGGGTACTGCATCCTGAGATGCCAGTCAGGCAGGACCCGGTCTTTGAAGGACCCAGACTCCAGCAGGAGCATCCGGCGCCCTCATTATAAAATAAGGAGTGCCAAGCCCAGAGGCAGGGGAGAGGAGCTGGGCTTTTCAGAGTGGTCAGAGCTCTTCAGGCTGGAAGGTCAGGAGGACTTTCTCTAGGAGGTGGCCTTTGAAGGGAGCCAGAGCCAACGGCTTTAACCTGGGGACAGGCGTGGGGGTGGCCAACCAGGGTGATGTGGTTTTTAAAAGGGGGGAAAAAAAAAAAAAACAAAAAAACCCTCCTGGCTCCACGTCTAACAGATTTCACCTAAACCAGCCTTGCTAAATCTCAAGCCCCATGAAACCCGTTTCTGTTATAATCTCTCCCTCTTATCTCTTCCTTCCCATCCTTTCTCATTCTCCTCCCCCAAAGGATAGGAAATCTTCAAAGAAAAAGATGTGTCACTGCAAGTATTCAGCCCAAGAAGTGGGCCAGATAAATTATTAAAACACATAAAAAGAAAGTGAGTTGTGGGGTGGGGAGCCGGCGCAGGCCGAAAAGCCGCCCCAGGTGGACGATGGTCTGGTGGCGTCCAGGGAGCCCCTCCCCGGAGTCCTGGACTGGCTAAGGTTTCACCACGAGGCCCACCTCTCTGGTTTCTTGCCCCAGGGCCAGCTTGGTGGTGGTGGTGGGGGGGGGTTGGTGTGATGATTCCAGCGGCAGCAGTAAGTCCCCGGCGCCTGCCGGGCTGGGAAGGGCCAGGCTGAAGGTGGAGGGGAGCCTTTGTGTCTGGGCTGGACATTTGGGATTTACTTCCCTCAAGACTCAAACTGGTAACTGCGGAGTTTTAGTTCTTGCTTTTATCTCTTTTTGAACTGTAAAAAGAAATTCCCAAGGGGAAGAGGGGATACTTTTTTCTCATGAAAGAAGAAAGCCATGACCGGTTTAAGGAAGTAACCAACTTTTTGAGCACTGTGAGAAAGAACACGCAAGGGTTCCTGCTTTGATTTCAATGCACCCTGGCACGGGGGTGGGGGGGGGTGGGGGGGTGAGAGAGTCTGACGGCATCCCCAGCAGAATGCGGTTTCCTCTGGAGGGGTTTGCAGGAGGGCTCCCGCTCTCTGAATCAAACACTGGAACCCCCCACCTCCCTCCTACTCTTGACTCCCGTTATCCTGCTCTGCTTTTTCGTTTTCCTACAGCTTGGGGGATAGAGGGGTCTCATGTTGGCAATATTGACATTTGGGCCGGATAGTGTTTTGTTTGGGAGGGCTATTCTGTGCCCTGTGGGATCTTTAGGGACAACTGTCTAGTTGCTAGGTGCCCTCAGGCATGGTCGAATGTCCCGGAATGTTCCCCGAAGTATCCTCACATTGTCTGTCACCGACCTGACACTTCCTCAGTATGGTTCCAGATGAGGGACTCTCTAACTATGGGATGCAAGGTTGAGACTATGTTGGGCCAGCCTTGTGGAGTGAAAACAGTCGCTGGCTCACTGTGTGACCTTGGACAAGTGACTTCACCTCTGTGCCTAGTGGTTTCCTTTCTTTGTAAAAACAAGTCCAGACCCGTGTCAGAGAGTAGTTGGGAGGGCTAGCCATGACTTTGGATGATGAGCACGTAGCAGGTCTGGGTAAAGAAGCATGCTATAAAATGGCCAGGAACACTATTTTCGGGAGTCCCAGCACTCCTCCAATGAAACCAGCCCGCAACAGCATTAATATACCTGCTTATAAGATTAGCTTTCATTTTCACCAACAAGGATGTGTGAAACATGAAGTTAGGACGGTGGAAGTTAAGACATTGTTGAGACATTGTGGGGTGAGACATTTTAAGAGATTTATGACTCCGAGGCCCCCGCAGGTCCCAATGTCTTTTTGAGACATCTGGAGCTGTGATGCCCAACACAGAAGCCACCAGCCACACGTGGCTATTGATCTCTTGCGATGTGGTGAGTCTGGGTGGGGATGTGCTCTAAGTGTAAAATACATCAGATTTCAATTAGCCAAACAAAGAATGTAAAATATCTCATTATATGTTGCAATTATAATATTTTGGGGGGTATCGGGTTAGACAAAATATATTATTCAAGTTAATCTCATCTGTTTCTTTTTACTTTTCTTCTATGTTGATGAGCAAGATAGCCTATATGTTTTTCTTTTAGTGTTCTTAACAAGTTTCTAAAAATTTTTCCTTTTATTTTAAATTCTTTATTGAAGTGTAATTAACATACAGTGCCCTATTAGTTTCAGGTGTGCAATACAGTGATTCAGCAATTCTGTTCCTCACTCAGTGCTCATCGTTGTAAGTGTTGCTTTTAATCCCTGTTTCTTTTCACTTAAAAAGAAAATGTGGGGGCGCCTGGGTGGCTCAGTGGGTTAAAGTCTCTGCCTTCCGCTCAGGTCATGATCTCAGGGTCCTGGGATAGAGCCCCGCATTGGGCTCTCTGCTCAGCGGGGAGCCTGCTTCCTCCTCTCTCTCAGCCTGCCTCTCTGCCTATATGGGATCTCTCTCTCTGTCAAATAGATAAATGAAAAAAAAATTAAAAAAAAAATGTGGCTACTAGAAATTCAACTTTACACATGTTGCTTACACTATCTTTCTTGGGCAACGGCCGCTCCAAGGAGCTGGCAAAAAGGGCAGACTTGAGCCTCCATTTTACAGATTAGAAAACTGAGGCTCACGCAGTGAAGTCAGTCCCAGGGGCAGAGCCGGGATCCTCACTACTTAGCACAGGGTTTTCTTTTCCCACGCCCAGGCCGCCCTGTACCAGGCCAAACTTAACAGGCCCGCGGTGTCCCCAGCGGAGCAGTCATTCTCCCTGAGAACCACAAAGGTGGGGTGGAACCCCTTGATGTCGCTCTCCCCTCCGCAGAGACTTCCCCAGACAAAACAAACAAGCCCTTGGGTCTGGCGAGCTGCGGCAGGGAGCGGAAACCGAGGAGGATCAAAGACCCAGCGGTTACCCCCTTCCGGGCCGCGCAGCTGGCAGCGCGCCTCGACCCCGGGAGGGCACCCACGGGCCCCGGCATGAGGCATCCGAGTGATTGGTTGGCAACTCGTGGCTTTCGGACACTTGCAGCTGCCAGGAGTGGGCTGGGCCCACAACCGGCTCGAGGCGCGGTGGGAGCTCCTCTTGGATCCCAGATCAAAACTTAGAGGGGCGGAGTGGGAGCATGGGGCGAGTAATCCGCGAACACTTTCTGCAAAAATCAGGTCGTGCTAAGATCGGGAAGGGGCAGCGCAGCAGCCGCGTCTCCTCTCCCGACCTCAGTTACATCACCTGTAAATTGGAGCCACCGAGTCCTGCCCGGCCCTCTTCGAGGAAAAATAGAGCGGAGGGCAGGCACCGTACTGTTAGCGAGGGGCAGCGGTTATTCCCGAGAAGACAGGACTCGGGAGGGTGTTTGTCCCAATACGCTTACGCCTATTGGACAGAGGCCCTTCCTCCATCCGGGTCCCCGGGTCTCCCGGTGCAAGACCCTCGACCTGTCCGCCCCGCCGCCCCCAGCGCCGGGATCAAGACCTCAGCCTGGAGGGGGGCGCTGTATCGGCCCCGCGGCGCCTGGCCCCGCCCCGGCCCGCCGGCCCGCCCCTCCCGGCCCGCCCCGGCCCGCCCCCAGCCCGCCCCCAGCCCGCCCCCAGCCCGCCCTCTCCGCTGCCCGCCTCGCCTTTGATGAGCCGCGCCCGGCCAATGGGCGCGCGGGGAGGCGCGGGCCGCAGCGGCGGGCTGGGGGCTCGGCGCGCCCGGGCGTCAGTCGGGCCGCGGCGACGGCGGCAGGAGCGGGTCCCGGTGCCGCCTCGGGCTCCGCTCGGCTCGGGGTTGCTCCGGGAGGAGGAGAGCGAGGCGAGGCGCGGCGCGGCGAGCCGCCGGCCCCGCGGGCCGGGCGCATGGCTTAGGGACGCCCCCGCCCGCCGCGCCCCCAGCATGGGGAAACTTCACTCCAAGCCGGGTCAGTGTCCCCGCCCGCGCGCCGGCCCCCTGGCCCCGGCCGCCCTCGCCCCCGCGATTGCTAACTCTCTGCCTCTCCTTTCTTTCCGGCTCCCGCCGCCGCCGCCGCCGCCGCCGCGCGCGATGTGCCTGCAGCCGCCGTGTGCAAGCGCAGGGAGAGTCCGGAAGGTAGGGGCGCGCGGGGCACGGACCGGGGGGATGGACGGGGAAGCACCGCGGACCGCGGCGGAATGGCCTAGCCCGTGGGATCTTATTACCAGGGCCACCCCCACCCCCAGCTCTGGCCACCGCTCCCACAAACCCGCTCCGGGAGTAGTCCTCGCGTCCCCCTTTCTGTCCCACCGCCGTCCTGTGCTCTCTCTTCTGACCCCCAAGCCCTCCTTTTGCGGTCCTCGCCCTCCGCGCTCTCTGAGGTCTCTCTTCAGACTCCTAAGCCCCTTCCCCCAAGATCCTGCCCCTCTCCTTCGGGCCCTCAGCCTCTCCTCCCGAGAGCTGGGCTCTTGCGCCCACTGCTCCCCTCTTCTCACCCCCAGTTTCCCTCTTCCCCTCATCCCGTGCTCCGTGCACTCGTCCTCCCTGCACCCGTCCCGTGCTCACTGCACCCGACCCTGGCCCCGCTCCTCAGCAGTCCTGCCTCTATCGCTCCCTCTTCGGATCCCCAGACCCTTTCTCCAGGGTGCTGCTCCACCTTTACGATCCCATCTGGGTCCCTGCCCCCCGAGGCTTAGCTGAACCCCTTTCTTCCGATTACCTGCGTCCCTCTCCCGGATGGTGCCCCGGCGCTCACCCCCCATCTTGTCCCCGCTGCCTCTGCCGCGCCCACTCTTTCCCTCCTGTGTCGGGTAACTTTCGGCCCAGGGGCCAGACTCAGGGGCTTCGTGTCTTCCCCGCCCCAGGTGACAGCTTCGCCGTGAGCGCCGCCTGGGCTCGGAAAGGCATCGAGGAGTGGATCGGGAGGCAGCGCTGCCCCGGCGGTAGCTCTGGACCCCGACAGCTGCGGGCGGCTGGCACGGTTGGCAGAGGAACCCGGGTATGATCCTCACCTACCTTTCAGCCCCAGACGGGTCTCCTTACCCACCCACCCCAACTTCTGGCATCCTCTCGGCACAGCTTCTAAGTCCAGAAGTCCCTTTGCAGCTGCCTCTGCCCCACCAGCATGTCTTGGGGAACCTTAGAGGTGGCTGGGGTGTCCGTCTCCCATCCAGCTGGCGGTGGAGGGCTGTCTGGGGAGGGAAAAGTCCTAGGTGAGGAGGTGGTGCAGGTCTGGTATGTGGGGAAGCTTGTGTGTGCTGGAGGGGTTTGGGGGCCTGCACTGACCTCTCTATCTTGTTTGTGTGGCCAGTATTCAAAGGTGGATTTAGAGGGGGTTGTGCTTGCTAGGAAGACAGGGAAGGCATCTAGGGGTGTCTGGGTGGAGGACGGGACTGTGCTGGCCTCCGAATGTGTTCCAAGTGTCCGTGGCATTCATCACTCCATCTGCCCAGTCAGGAACCTCAGTAGAAGAGGCTGTGATCTGGGTAGCAGAGCCTGGGGGGCACTGAGACCTGGTACCCCTTCACTTGGCCCACACAGAGAGAGCGGGTCTCCTGCTGCTGTCGCCAGGGCCCACCCTGAGCCTTCCCCCAGTAGGTTGCTGGGGTTGGAGCTGTTCCTGGGGGAGCGGTGGATGGGACAGGGGAGTGAGTGAGTCCAGCCCCAGCTCTTGGCCTGGGTCTGGTGCTCACAGATGTCCTCGGAGCTCGGGAACTCTGCACGGGGCTTTCAGATGGTCTGCGTGGAACTCGAGCAAGCCAAGGATCAAAGGATGAATCAACTTTTTGATGTGACATTTAATTTTTTTTTTTTTTTAAACTTAGAGGGGAACAGACTGAGTCTCAGGTCTGGTTAGTTCTTTGGTCTTGTCCATGGGCTGGGGAGGGGCCTGTGGAGGTTTCAGATTCAGATGTGCGTGTGCGTGTGTGTGTGTGTGTGTGTACACTCGTTCTCTGGTACTGGGGCCGTGGCACCTGGGTTGGTTGCTTAGTTGCAGGGGCCGGTGCTGGGAGGTGAACCTGGGGATAAAGTCCACTCTTGTGCATGTATGGAATAATTTCTGCATCTGGGAGAAGCCCCCATCGCACCTCTTCCCATTGCCTCGCTTAGCTGGAGGGCTTTCTCTTCTTCCTTTTTCTTCCTCTTCTGGCTGGGCTGGAACTGGAGCTGCTGTCCCCCAGGAAAGGTCAAAACTAGCTGGGTGGGGGGCACTGCGGCTGGGGCCGTTTAGAAACAGAACTACAAACTTCCCTTTCTTCCCCCACCGTTTATAGTTTTTGATCTACTTACTTATTTAAAGCCTGGTGAAAATGATCCGATTTAGCTATACGAACAAATGCATTTGCAGCTCAAGACAGAGGCCAACTGAGTGGATTTCCATTAATCAAGTTTTGGGTTTTTTCAGCCTGTTTATTTTTACAAAGTATTCCTGCAGAATGACATTTATTTGCAGTCCCTTTTTTTTTTTTCCTTTCCTCAACTGCCAGGCAGCTTGCTCCATGCTTTAGGGGAAACTTGAAATACAGCGAGGGCTTACTTCAATTGACTTTTATCTTCAAAGCCATAACAAATGTTACCCGCATGTTTTTGGTGGGTCTCCTTGGCATCCAGTCCTGGAGGATGGGAGGGAGGAGGAAGGAAGGAGAGGAAAACAAAAGTCTGTCGTTTTTAATTAAATAGTAGTATTCCCAGCAAGAGGAATGTGAACCAGTAAAAGTTGCCATTGGGGGAGATGAGGGAGGGCGGGGAGGGGGCCCCAGCTGAAGTCTGTGGCTTTGGTGAAGTCATGGAATTTTGTTGCCTGTTTTCTTACCCCAGCTGAGGACAGCATGGGGTGGTGCTTGCCCCCCTCCCTTCCTCACCCCCTCTCTCAGAGAAACACTGAGGGGTCATTAATGTTTGTTCAAAGCATGTTTGAAGATGTGAGAGGCAGAGCCATCCGTGTGACATATGTTGGGTGGTGGAGGGCGGGCCTCATCCAAGATACTAAGGGGAGGGAGACTCTGCTTCCTGGGGAGTTCTGCTTTGGTGACTGGGACCTGGACACCGGGGTTCCTACCAGCCCTGGCCCAGCCACCAGATCTGCTGGGGTGGGGATGGCGAGCCCACCCTGGGAGAGGTCAGGGGAAGCCCAAGGTGGGAGGCTGCGTGGTGGGGGCGTGTGCACTGATTTCAGGTGGTGCCTGAAGGAATGTTTGTTATCTTAATAGTCAAGCATTTCTGTTACTGGAAAAGATAGTAACTAGGACATCAAACCCATGATATTATCACTTAGGATGAAGCTAAATGAAAGACAGTGTTGAAAGTTGATTCCAAGCACACTATTAAGTACAAGTGGTCAAAACTGTGACTGTGGAAACGGAATGCCTGGAGTTTAGGAGAAACACTGAATGAGACAGCAGTGGGCAGCCTCCCGCCGAGGTTAATTTCTGTGATTCCCAGTGGGGCAAAAAGGGTGGCTGTGTAGGCTCTTCCATTAGATCATCAGGAGGTGGGGTGTGGGCTCCAAGGTCTGCTGGATGTCGGGGGGCTGGCAGAGGTCCCCCCGGCAGCCCCAGGCATGACGTAGGGATGGTCTCTGTCTCCACTCAGCCCGTCTTTCACTGAAGTGGCTGGAGGCACATTAGTGGTTCATTCAACTCGCATTACTATTACTGCAATGAACGTCACTATTTATTAAGTGCCTGTGGATGTCAGGCACTTTGCTTACATTGTCTCACTCCTCTTCCTAACCCTATAAAGTTGTGAGCCGGCTGATGGGGACTCTGTCTTTCTCCTTCTGAAGCACTTTCTAGAGAACTGGGGCCATGTGTGGCAAAGGCCTATGCTAGAACACATGTCCAGAGGGTTCCTCCTTACTCATTTCCAGAGAGCGGCATGCTGACCAGCTGCTGAGTACTTTGGGAAGAGGCGGGTGGTGGGCCGGGCAGGAGCAGGAGGGGCACCTGCTTGCCCTCTCCCTTCCTGACCCGGTCTGAGTAGCTTAGTCAATGTTTAGGGTGGGTCCCAGTTGCTTGGAAGGTCCTGGGACGGGAGAGGGTGACTTTGCTGGCACTAACCTAAGCCTGCCATCCCGAGCATGAAAATAAATGAGGCCAGGCTCTGCCACTATAGCTCACCATCTCCTATAAGCCATTTTATCTAAGCTCATCTGCTAAGTGGGTATAATAATATCCTCAGCCCTGGCGGGGTTATGGCAAGTGACCCTTCAAAATGAGTTCAAAAGGGAGAAAGATACCAGGAGGTTTGCTGAGGCACAGGTTGGGCAGAGATGGGAGCCCAGATGATGAATCCAGAGGCTTCCCCCCTCCCCTGCCCCACCGTCCACTGTAGATGCACTTGGATGGACACGGACTGAGGGTGGGGCTGGACTGAGGGTGGGGCTTCAAGGACTCTGGAGCTCAGAGGAGAAAAGTAATGAGGGACAGTGACAGGTCCAAGTACTCTGAGCCACGAACAATGAAGTGAACAATTTCTATGCCAGACAGCAATGCAGTAGACACTTCGCAGTTCCAATAAGGCTAATAATCTCAAAGAGATAAAGAAGGAGTGGTAAACACGAAGCTGTAACAGGCAGTTATGAGAGAACACCAATTGGGAATACCAGGTCTGGAAAATGTCCTAGAATATAATGGGTGAAATGGAAAAGCTTGGTAGAGGGATGGAGTTGCGTAGGGGACATGGAGAAGCTGATGGCGGCGCGCCTGGAGAAGGAGAACCTGGGGGCCCTGTGCTCTGAGCTATGTACCTGTGGGCACCGATGTGAATGTGTAAGACCAGGTTTAAGGCCATGCCTGCCCCCCACCTGCCCCCAACCTGCCCCCGGGTTTGGCCCTTTTGCTCTTTTAGCAGAGCTGCCTTAGGAATGGGGTAGAGAGATGTGGGCCTGGCAAACCTGCTTGGGGGTTGAAGGTGGCCGCCCCGCGGGCTGGTAATTTGATTATGGGGCACCTAGTGCCTTTTGATATTTGGGGAAGATTGGGAGGGCGCAGGCTGTGTCGGAGCCCGCGAGGCCATGCAGGGCTGGGTGATGGGGTTGGAGGCTGGCTGTTGGCCCAGCTGCTGCCCCAGTTGCCAGATTCCAGGGGAATCACCCTTGAATGATACCAGTTGGCACAATTAAAGGGCCCCATGTCTTCACCATATGGAAAGCGTTAGGCCTCCTTACGTGGTTTCAAAGCTATGTGCCGGGAGGTAGACTTGACATTTGAGGTAAAGCATAAATTAAATATTTGGTGTTTTCAGAATTAAAAGATGATTTGCTTTGAGGTTGGTGGAGGCATCTTTGGGTTCTCCAGGAGGGTCTCCTCTGCCCGTGGCACCCAGGATCAGCTCTGTATCCCCACCTGGCAGCTTTCTTTACCCCAGGGGTGGGGGTGGGGGGAGAGACTGGGGAGGCCTGAGCTGGGCAAAGCGCCAGCTGGGGCTTCTGGCTTTCAATAAGGCCGGGTCCCTCTGGAGGGTGGGTGGTGGGCAAGGCTTTAATACATCTCTGTGATGTGGTCTCTGGGAGACTCCGAGGAGCATCTCATCCTACCTTCGGAACTTCTCTTTGGGAAAGAAGTTCCCCCGAGTCAGGCCCTTGAATTCAGGAACAGCCCCTGCACTTTCACATTTCGTACAAACTGTAATAAACCCAGGGAGAGGCTGAACTAGGAAGCAGTCTTGGCATGTCTCCCAGGGTCCTAGAACTCCGTGGAATGATGCTTCCCCTCACCCAGTAGGGATGGCCAACGTGAGGAGAGAGGGTGGGCCCCGGATGGGCAGAGAGGACTCCTCCTCGCACCAAGAAGCTCCAGTAGGGACCCACAGGGACCTGACCGTCCCTGTGAGGGCTTAAAACAGTCTACAGAGGGGCACCTGGGTGGCTCAGTGGGTTAAAGCCTCTGCCTTTGGCTCAGGTCATGATCCCAGGGTCCTGGGATCGAGCCCCACATCGGGCTCTCTGCTCAGCAGGGAGCCTGCTTTCTCCTCTCTCTCTGCCTGCCTCTCTGCCTA